ACCAGGGAGGGCCTGCTAAGAATCTTTTTAAGTTTGTTCTTCCTGGGCTTTTCCCGCTCCAATTTCCTGCCGTGCACCTGTGTTCCATCGAGTGTAAAACCCAGAAACAGGCCAGAAGTTGTGGGGCAGCTGTGAGCCAGGTGTTTCCCCGCACACCTGAGTGCCTGGTGAGGCTGTGTCTGGAGGGGCCCACACCCGACCTCCTTCCATTCCCTGTCACGTAACCCCTTGAGGCTTCTGTCTGTCCGGCTCATGAGCTCAGTGATGTTCTCTCTTTTGGGGGGGTACAGCCCTGCCCTGGCTGTGCAGGGACCTTTCCTGGTGACACCAGCCCCCAGTCTTCTGTGCCACCCATTGAGAGTAGATCACCAGGAGTGTCTGGGCTGGTGTCATGCTTACGCGTAGGAATTTGCTAATAATGACGAGAAATCAGTTCTCTGGCATCGCCGCTCTGGGCGTAGTCAGCTGTAGTGGGAAGCTGAAGGCTCACTGTCGGCATCTATGCACTCTGAGGCCCTGACGAGGCATGCTGTGGGAGCCGGGTTCATCATCGCTGGCCCAGCGGGTGCGCACACCTCCTGTGGGGTGCCTGGCCTCACCGACTTTGGGTTCAGGTGGAAGCCAGCTGCACCAGGCTGGTGCCCTCTGGGAATCTAACTTTGAAAATTAGTAGGTGCTGGGTTTGGGGGAGGGTGGAAAAGGAAAAGCCCCCAGACAGACCAAAAACTGGGGTGGTTGACTGGGTCCAGCTTCACGGCACCACCACCAGGGGCCTCCTGAAGCCCGTGTCTTGCACCTTCCCACCCGCCGTGGTCCAGTCTCCTTGGCCTCCGTATCCCTGGGACGCTGGTTCGGAGCGCTAATGCCAAGCTGCTCCACTTCGTCAAAACAAGGAAAAGCCGGAGTCCAGGGCTCCCAGCACCTGCGCCCGGTTTCTCCAGGCCACCCGACTCCTGGCGGCCGGGTTGGTGGCCCTGCCTTGCTGCCCAGGGCTGTCCAGAAGTGTTAACAGGTCGGTCAGCTCGGGACATGCAGCCAGGTGTGACTGCAGGTCACTTGGGCGCCTTAACCCGGGACTCCTGGGCCAGGTTGCTGCTGTTTGCCGGGAGGCGGGCGCGTCTCCGCCCAGACAGGAGCTGCCGTGACGCGAGTTCTCGCTGGCGCTGCCCAGGCTGCCCAGGCTTCTGTGGTGGCCCTGACTGGCCTGGCTCTTGGCCTCACCTGTGTGCCTCTGGGTCCCACCTGCGGCCCACCCTCCCCCATCTCAGCTGCTGCAGATCCAAGACCCACGGCGTCTCCCCCCCAGCCATACCCAGCACCCGTTCTAGCCCGCGCCCAGGCTTGAATGGTCCTCCCCACCCACCTGTCTCACGTCCAGTTCCCCTCCATTCACGACAGACTCCTGGTCCTTCAGAGTGCTCTGCCAGACCACGTCCTGTGCCCTCTGCCTGGTGACACCTGCCGCCTGTGTTGGGGTTCTCCACTGGAGGAGGTCTGTCCTTGCAGGTGTGAGTCATCCTGCCCTGTGAGGCGGCCCCACCCTCGGGCTGGTCAGTCCTCAGGTCCATCAGAGGCCGCGCAGGCTGGGTGTGGCTCCCAGAAATAGGACAGCTGTGTGAGGCGCCCCGGTTGGGGGAAGCTCTGTTAACACTGGGGTTTTACCTGTAACGATACATTTTGGAAATTTCATCTTGATAAGGCTGATTTATGGGATCTGCTTATAATTAAGGAATCCACTGACCCTTGCAGGGTCCCAGCGACCCAGAGGCCCTCAGGAGTGTCGTGGAGGTGTGGGGGTGCTGGAGGATAGCGTCCCGAGCTGGTGTGGCGGAGATCGGCCAGACGTGTGTGGGCCTCCCCACAGCTGTAGTGAAGAGTGATTTGTTTTTTTGAGATTGATTTATTCATACAGAACTGGGGTACAAGCCAGAGGTGCAGGGCAGTGAGAGGCTTCCCCAGAGACAGAGTGGGGAGCAGAACATGCTGATGGACGAAGTCCACTGCTGAGGGGAGCCACAGGCGGGTCAGGAGAGGTCTGCCGCGCCCTGTGGTCACCTCCGGGGCCGGGGATCCAACTCGCACTGAGGCGGCTGCAGCCAGAATGCAGTGCTGCGTCCCGACCCGCTGCGCCCCCAGGGAGGGCCTGAGTGACTGTAACACGGACCTGGCGGTGGCGAGCACGCGCACCCGTCTCAGAGCGCAGGTTTCCAGGCGAGGCCAGCCCCAGGGAGTGCGCCCAGGACCAGTGGGCACAGCCTCCTTGCCGGGCCTTAGCATGTGTGTCGGGGTGACAGCGAGCTGGCGGGGGTGTGTCCATGCGTGGTGGGGCCCCGGGCTACCACAGCTGCCATTCGCGCCACCGCACAAGCGCCTGACACCGCATTTCTCAACGCACCTGTGGCCAGGGGGGGTGTAGCTGTGTGGGCTCGACCGAGGCGAAACCAGGTTTACACACACGTCAGCATTATGGAGCACGTGTCTTTCTCCAGTACTGTGGTGACTGAGAATACTGGACTTTATCTGCTTCACAGTAGTAGTTAGCGACATTCTCAACATGATGTGTTTTATCAGCTGCAGCCCAGAGGGGTGGGGCACTGGGGGTGCGCGTCTCTGAGGGGCCTGCAGCAGGAGGTGGCACTGAGCGGGGGTGTCCTGAGTCACCGCCCCCAGCACACGCCGGGACTGTTTCCCTGCACCACCCTCAGCTGGGTAGGCGAGTGGGTGACTGTACTGCGAGCAGACGACCCGTCGACCGTGCCACGTCCTGGGGGCTGTTCCGTACTGGGCAGCCAGTGTGCATTGCGAGGGTCTGCTCGGCTTGGACTTAGGGTCATCTCCGTGGAAGGAAAGAGGAGTGACGCAGGGCTGAAGACCCCGGTCAGGTGCGTGTCTGGATCTCGGCGTGACAGCGCAGCTTTCCAACCCTGCCCTGAGCAAGGACATGTGGATCTTGGCACTCACTGGGCCACAGCCTGGGGCGCTCGGTACCCCGTCCTGGGGGGCCTGCCTGGCCAGGAGAGGCCCGCACCTGGCGTAGCCGCCCTGGACACTGCCGGTGACGGCGGGCTGCCTGGAGGAGGTGGCCCGGGCAGCAGCAGCCCTGCGCGCACCGGTCAGGTGGCTGAGAATTGTTGTCCAGTTGATATTTAAAGCAGTCTGGTATCTTGTGATCCAAGGAAACATTTGCTTTAACTTTTAGAAAGAGAAAATTTTCAAAGAAAAGCTTGAGCTTTCAGTAGCTGTTTCAGCCTGACACCGCAGGTCTACCAGGACCCAGGGCTCCCGCTTCTGATGAGGGTGCCCTTTGGTGCTGACTTAGGAACTCCTGCCTCCCGGGGTCGGCAGGTGTCAGGGCCTGCCGCGGCCCTCGGGTAGCTGAGCGCAGCTTGAGCATCCGCCTTGAGACAGGGCTTCTGTTGTGTTCCTTACGCATCACATGTCTCGTGCTCTGCCCAGCATTTTATTGACATGACCCTTATTCCTGCGACAGCCCCTTAGGACAGACAGCTGCTGTCCCGTCCCCCATGGCGCGGGCACAGAAGGCCAGGCACTCACCAGCTCACGCGCGGGGCTCTCCCTGTGCCCCCTGAGCGTCGTGTTGGGGGCCTCCTGCTGGCCGTGTCTCCACATCTTTGGGTGTCCTGGGAGCTCGCCTGTTTAATTTTTCTTTTAAGATCTATATTTATGCTTACAAGAACTGGGGTACAGTACGGTCAGAGATGTGGGGGGCAGAACAGGCGGATCCACTGAAATACACTGCTGAGGGAAGCAGCGGCGGTCAGGAGAGGTCTGCTGCCCCCTCATGGCTGGGATTGGACTCGCGCTGCAGTGGCTGGGGACAGCTTCACAGTGCTGCGCTTAACCCCTGCGCCACCAGGGAGGCCCTCTGCTTGAATTTTTTGGAGACTTCTGCTTGCCACTTACTGAGTTGATCTCATGACCCACAGGGAGTAGGTCACCGACCTCAATTTGAAAGCCATCATGGAGAGATGACCGTGGTCACATAGGTTGCTTTTCCTTGCTTTAGAATGCAAGTGCTCGGGACTAAGCACAGCCAGGCACCGAGCATGACTGTCACCTGGTCGCCAAAGCAGCAAGCCCAAGCAGACCGAAGTCCCGCCCTGCAGTCAGGCCCGTTGGTGTGGACGGGCTGGTCTGCAGCACCTGTCCAGCAGGAGGTGACCGGCATGCCTGCAGGTTTGCGTGTTTTCTGAGGCAATTTATGCCACTGGTGCTGGTGATATCCTTCTTGAAAATTCCACAGTAAAGCGGGCGACATCGGCATGCCGACTGGTCTGAACAGACACTCGCAAGGCTTTGAGTGCCGGAACGCGGATGGTTACAATTTAAAGAGTCCCCGTGACTTCTGGGTGCCAGGTCTGTGCGTGCACATTGCCTCCCGGGCAGACACGGAGAGTCCACGCGTTGGCACGACGGTACATGAAACGCTTCGCGTCGCAGAACCGTGGGTGCGCTTGGGAGACGACGCTGGACCAGTGTCCGTGGCGTCGCCGGGGGCCCTGTCGTCAGCTTGGCTGGCCGAAGGCGTCAGCCAGCACGTGCGCCTGTGCTGGCCCGCCGCGGCGCCTGTCCTGAGGTGTCTGCACCCGGCCGCTTGGGGGTCCCTCACTGCCGGCTTAGTTCCGGCGGCGTGACGGGTGGGCAGTTCTTTGCCCCAGGAGTGAAGTTCTTCCGCGGAAGATGCTGCGCTGCTCTGCTCTGCACCTTTCCGGCTCAGGTCTCCCAGGAGCACCGTTCCCCGGGGGCACCTGGAGTCCGCGGCCGGCTGCAAGCGCGAGCCTGCCAGTGATTTCAGAGCTGCGGCTCCGGGAACGTTACCCGCAGAGGGCTGGGCCTGGCCTGTTTCTTCTGAAGCTGTCGGTTCCCCGGTGTTTATGACTTGCTCCGTGTGTCTGTCAAGTTTTAGGTGCAGTGTAAGTGCTGCGTCCCCGACTCACAGCCCGTTTTTCTGTGCCGTTCTGTGACGTGAAAGGAACCAACCACACTCGAGGCCCCTTCTCCAGCGCCGAGAGCCGAGTGGGATTTCGGTTTGAAGTGTCCTTAGAGATTCGGGTGCACCCCATGTTTGGAGTCAGGAATTTCCCGGCGTTTCTGGGGCACCTGCAGTGGCCTGTGCCGGGGGTTCAGCTGTGGATCAGGCCCTGCTGTCCTCTGGCCTGGGGCTCGCACCCCGCAGCGGCTCCGCCAGGAGCTCCGTCCACGGAGAGCGGCGTTTGCGGGTGTGGGGTTGGGGCCAGGCCTGTCCACCTTGATACAAGCAAGTGACGTAACAGTAAACCCACTTCTTAAACTGTCCATTATGCAGACGAGGGTGAGGGGCGAGATGGCCCGACCTTGAGCCAGGGGAAATACGCAGCTGGTGCAGCTGGGAGCCTGCTCGGGTGCGGCTGTCTGCTGCCGCTGTTTTGTCCTGAGAGACTTTTTTTTTTTCCTAAAGATTTATTTATTTGTGCATACAGAACTGGGGTACAGGCCAGAGATGCGGAGCGTGAGAGGCTTCACCAGAGACAGAGCGGGGAGCAGAACAGGCAGATTGACGAACACACTGCTGAGGGGAGCAGCGGGCGGGTCAGGAGAGGTCTGCGTGCCATGTGGTCACCCCCGGGGCCAGCGGGAATTGAACTCATGCGGAAGCGGCTTTAGCGTCTCGATGCTGCGCTTTAACCCGCTGCGCCACCAGGGAGGGCCCTGATTGACTTTTTAAAGATAGAGTGTTTTCAAACATTATATAGCAGTTGTAGGTTCACTACAAAATCTAGAGCCAAGCAGAGCCGTCCCTGACACCCCTAGGCCCCCCCCCAGAACAGCAGGGAGCCGCACTGGCACCCCAGGGGCCAGGGGTCTTTTCGCTGGACCGTAATTTCGCCTTTCCAGGGTGTCGTCTGCGTGAGGCCTGCAGAATGTGGACGCGTCATGCCGGCCGCTTCCACTGAATCATCAAAGATGTAAGCACAGTACCGCAGGCTTGACCAGCCCCCAGAGTTACCTGTCGGCACGCTAAGGTGTCTAGACCTGAGCTCTGCTGAGGGGTGACGGGCGTGACGCCGACGCAGTGACCGTGAGGGCGACCCCTGGGCACGGGCCGGTCCCTTCGTGACCGTCCCAGGAGCCGCCGAGACTGCCGTGGGCTTGCTTCACCCCGATGCTCCCGTCGGAGGCCAGTCAGGGTCGGCAGAAGCAAGAGGTGGTGTTTCCCTCCACGTTTAGAGTCCCCGCAGTCTGCCCGCACCCACCCCGCCAGCCTGTCTGGGGGCAGTGGGGGAGTGGTGGTCCGCTGTGGCAGGCAGCAGGAAAGCGGCTGGCCCTGAGAGGCCTCGCGCCCGGGGGCTGGCCGGCACCCGGCTGGGGCCCTCGGGAGGCAAAGGGAGGAGCCCTCAGTCCGAAGGGGCTGTTTGGGGTCTTTGACGCGGGGTGGTCAGGCGCCTGGCTCCAGGGTGCCAGTTTCTAGGGCGCCAGCTCACAGCACAGGGCCTCCCTCCTCCCTCCTGGGTCCTCCCCGCAGCCCTCCAAGCCAGCCGCCCTGCGCCTGGCAGCGCCCTCCGACCCCACCCCACCCCCGTTTTAGTGCTGCTGCCTTTTTCTTGGGGTGGGGAGAAACGCCTGTACCCTCATGCTGCGCTTGCACCCCTCGCTCCCCGGAGCCCCTCGGCCTGCCTTGAGCCAGCCGTCACGTCACCACTCTGAGGCTGTCCGGTGCGCTTGAGCTCCACGCGGGCGGGGTGTCACTCGTGGCACCGCCGAGGGTGGGCACTGAGTGCCAGTCTCTGCAGCCACCACACTTGAGTCAGGACTTGCGGCTTTACCGCCCGTTTGGGGGCTGGTGCCGGTGGGGGCCGGGCTGCGCTGCGGGCTGGGGCCAGAGGTGACGCCCAGCTGCCCCTTCCCGAGTCCCCTTGCCGGTGCACGCTGCGTGTTTTGTTGACCCCAGCAAAGGCCGTTTCTGGACAGCGCGGGAATATTTTGAGCCCGTGTTTTGCTTTTCCCTTTCTGCCTTTTTCGGAGCAGTGAGCCTGCCCGAAGCAGCTGCCGGTACTTTTAGAACACTTGGCTCTCGTTACAGCTCAGGCTTGAGCTACCGGCGCGCTTGAGCCTTGGCGTCGGCCGGGCATCCGCTGGCCGCGCCGGGCCCGGCTGGACGGAAGCGAGGCTCGCGCCGAGGCCGTGGCAGGGCCTGGGTGGGCTTGGCGGGACTCTGCCCGACTCGGACACTGGCAGCCCTCCCTGCCCCGGGGTCGCGGACCCTCACCCCGCCTGCCCTGAACTTAGGGCTTAGCTTTGGGGGGAGGTGGCCCCGGGGTCCTCCTCACAGGCTCCGGTCGCGAGGGGCACCCCTGCGCCCACCTCTGCCAGTGGCCGCCGTCTTGCCCGCCCGCCCTTCCTGGTGCGCCGGAGCCTGCTCACCCCGGGCGTGGCCGGCCGCCTGGCTCCGGCTCAAAGTCCTCCCCACGCCCAGCACCCACGCGCTCTGGCGACGCAGCCTCTATGTGTACGGCGGCGCCTCGTCCTCCGGCCCCCCGCGCCCCAGCCCCACTCCCACCTCGCGCACAGTGAGCTCAGCGAGACTCTGCCCCGGCGGGAGCCAGTGCTGGGGCCACGTGGTGGCAGTGCCCGCCGCACCCGGCAAGCCAGGCCTCCGGCCAGCGCTGGCTGCGGCTCCGCTCCTGCAGCTGCTGAGGCCCCTCGGCCCCTCCTTCCTGTGGCACCCCCTCCGCAGCACTGCGCCCCCCCACCCTGCCGCCCGCAGGCCCATGGCCTGGGGCGGAGCCGGCAGGGGCCTGGTGCCCTGGTCGCTGTGTCGCTCGCAGCTGTGAGTGACGTTGTCTGGAAGCTTAGGGGACCAGCTTGGGAGCAGGGGGCGCGCGCCCCTCCCCCAGGCGCGCCCTGGGTGCTGAGGGTGCCGCCAGCAGGAGAGCGCCCGGGCCGCAGGGCTTTCTGTGTCAAGCTGCATCCGTGGGGTGGAGCTTCTACTTTTTTTTGTTTTTTAAAGACAGAACTGGGTACAGGCCAGAGGCTCAGGGGCGAGAGACTAAGCCAGAGACAGAGCGGGAGCAGAACAGGCCGACCGCCGCAGCACACTGCTGAGGGGTCAGGAGAGCCCCTGAGGGTCACTCCGGCTGCAACCGGAGCTGCTGCTGCAGCCAGCCAGCTTCCTAGCGCCGCCTCTAACCTGTTGCTCCACGGGGCGGCGGGCGGGGCGGGCCGGGGCAGGCAGGGCCGGCCTCGCCTCTTGGGACACGTCACAGGCGCCTCCGTGTTCGTGAGCCTCCCACGTGCTTGTCTTCCCTGCGCCTGCTGGGACGGGTGTTGGTGCACAACCAGTCCTGGGGGACGCGAGAAGAGGCTCCCTGGACGCTCGGCAGGCTGCGGCGCTCCTTGCCAAGTTCCTTGCCCCTCAGTTCCTGGTTCCCAG